AAAAAAAAAAAAATAAATCAAAATACTCGACATATAGAAAAAAGCATTACAGCGATAATGAACTGTTTGAAAAAAAAAAATTACAAATTAAAAAAAAAAATGGATACATGTACGTACAGAAGCATTACATCCCTAGCAGAAAAGACAAGGACAGGCTGTACCTTTTTAATAAGGTTACTATTTATAAAAATCATTTTGACAAATATGAAGAAAAAAATGATGAGAAATTGTCCAATTTGAAGAAAATCCTGAAGATATATGAAAACGTAACGACGGACGAAAAGAAGAAGCTGTACGAATTGATAAAGTTCTTTTCCTTCACCCAAGGAGGATTTCAAAATGACAAACTGAGACAAAAGTTGTGGCTACTCCTACTCGGATTTAACATCAATTTGTCGAAAGAAAAAAACTATAATGATCACCCCATATCTATCCTTTGTATGAAACATAAAAACAAATTTAAATTTGTGAATTCGGCTAAACACTTTAAATTAAAATGGATCAAAGAGGAGGACAGGGCGGGTGATTGGCACCCGCGTCAATGTGCCAATGATGATTTGCGCCACAAAGGAAAGCTTACGCCAAGCGCGCATAGTCAAAATAATATTTACTATTATGATAATTTTTCGTGCCCCCGGAAGAAGGAATTTGTTTTCAGCTGCCGGGTAAGTGATGAAGGAGGTGTACATACCCCTTCGGTTGACCAGGGGGGACGATCACCCTCTGACACAGGTGCCTCCATGGAGGGGTGCCTATCAATGGGAAGAATCAAATCAGGCCATACAGACAAAGTCCAATGCGGAAACAAAGCAGCTGCACATGATGGCCACTTGCGTAACCGCAAAAGCACGCGCGCGAAGAAGACATTGTACCTGAAGGAAAAGGACGAGAAGCGTCATAACGCATGTCCGTCGGCACCCCCAAGCTGCTCCTCAAGGACATCCTCAACACCATCCAGCAGGACGGGACTGTTATGTATCCCTGCCATGGAAGAAGTAGACCACTGCGCGTCCGATAATTTGCTCTACCCATTGGACGGTTTTATTTCCTCGACCAGGTCCTTCACAACTTCGTCCGTGTTATCATTCACCTCGAACTGCTCAGACGACATGGGCATGGTGGGCAGTAAGTCGAGAAGCAGGCACAAGATGCGGCACCCCCCTCTGCATTTTTTCAGTAGCTCCCACTCGATCGACGGCACACGGCAGGGGTACAACAAGGGGAATAAAGCGCTTAGAAGGAAATCAGCAAGTAAGAGGGCAAATGTCCCTCAAAGTAATGTCTTCCCAGGGAAGGTAAAACCGAATGACTCCTTCCCTTTTTTCTTCAAAGAAAAATATAAAAAAAAAAAAAAAAAAAAATTGTCAAGCATGATATAGAGAAAAGGGCTAAGAGATGCATCCAAAAGAAGACAAAAAAAATCATTTATTTTCTGGTCAACATTGATAAAGACAAAAATAATTATGATAAAACAAAAAATGTAAAATTTATTATAAAATTGTTAAAGGTCATTTATAAAAATATGTTGGAGGTGGATTTGTACATAGTGGATTACATTCTTCGAAAAAATCAGACAAGTGAGGACAGCAATATTTTGTCCTACTTAAAATATAACATTGAACATAATTACAATTTTAATTCAAACCTTAATAAGTGGATAATTGACAGCGTGCTACTGGACGAAAATGAAAGAGTGCAGGTGAAGAAGGATGTTAAAAGAAGTGTAAACACGTGGAACATACACAAGTACAACATATACGAAATAAAAAAAAAGTATCAATATATTTTGAAAAATGTTATTTGTAGTATCCTGTATAAACACTCAAATAAAATTTATTACGCCCAGGGCGTACACGACGTTTGTCTCGTTTTCATCACTTTATACTTTCATAACTTTTTGAGGAGGTACAAAAAGTACGTCTTCTTGGAGCACTTCATATCCAAGTTTGTTGTAAACAAAATTTGTGATTTGATTTTTTCAAAGTTAACAAATGAGTGTAATGAGCACCATCCCCCGGATGGGTATAACACTCAGGTTTTTTTTCCACAGGAAGGATGTGTAAGGGAACAGGAAGCGAACATCTCCTTCCCCCTTGGACATAATAATGAACATAGGGAGGCGAATGGAAAGTCCACACCCCGGAAGCGGAAGGGAAGAAATATTGAAGCAAACATTTTCCAAAACAACATTATCGATATGTTTCTCATGGAGGAAAAGTACATTGAAAAAATATGCCTGTTGAATAATATTAACCTGGAAAGGTATATAAAGTATAAAAAAAAAAAAAAAAAAAAAGAGTACATGGTGTACCTCCTATGCGAGCGCTTTCTCCTTTTTTATATGATTGATTATTTGACCTTGTCCCTGGACGTGTCGATTAACAACACCTTCAAGAGTATTGGCTTGCTGCTCAAGTATATGGACAACGAGGTGTACGATGTGTTCTGCCTTGTCCAAAAGGAACAACAGTATGAAAACATGAAATATGCTAATCGAAGTGAGAGGGCCAGTGTTGTAGGTCGAGGTTACAGCAATGAGGAAAGAGGCATCAATAGAGGGAAAAAGACACAGAGTGACTCCAAAAGTGATACTAACCAAATGGACACTAAGAGGAACTCCCTCAAGCTAAGTGGCACCGAGTTCTTCTTCTGCCTAAGTTGGGTTGTAACATACTACTCTCACGTGTTCACGGAATTTGAGAAGCTCGCCAGGATTTTCGACACACTGCTCTCCAACGATGGCATTTTTATAATCTACTTCACCAGCTCAATCATTTTGCACAAAAAGGAGCAACTCATACAAATAGCTAACAAAAAGAAGAAGGACATGCTCTACAATAATATGTACACAGAAACGCATTACATTTTTCAAAACCTCAAATGGCAGGATATGAATGTGGACAACATAATTAAAAAAACCTACTACTATATGAATTATAAAATTCCACAGGACATTTTTTTGGAGAAGATAAAACAGAAAATATCCTTCCCTCCATTTTCCCCCATATATAGCCACCCTTTCATTTTGCACTACTTCCATTATCAGAAGGAGAGGGAAGAGTTGCGCAACAGGTCGGTGGACAAGACTATTCGCAGCTTCTACACGTACAGCAGGGGGAGGGGCGGGGGTGACAATCCTGATGAGGGGGAGCAACATGTACAGACAGAACAACCGCAGGACGAGAACGCGTGCAGCCTGCACGTCCCACCCAGCAAAATGAAAACGTACGACGAGTACATCCACCATCTGCTGGACAAGCAGAGCGGGGGGGAGTCCAAGGAAAAAAGGACGAACCCATTATTGAGGGGAAAAAAGTACAGCACAGACGACAACAACATCTACCTCCACTACCCGTACTCAATTCTCTGCAACCACTTGGAAATGAATAAAGAAATTATAAAAAAGCACCTGATCGTCGAGGACTTTTTCCAATATGTGTTCTACGACTTCATCGTAAGCTACAAGGACATCTGCAACAAGCACAAAATAAAGTCCAAGAAAAAATGCTACATCATTCAATACATAAAAGTTAAGGGCAAAAGGGAACACCTATTGATGAAGAGAAAAAAAAAAAAAAAAAAAAACAAGTATGAAAAAATCCTGCACAGAATGGCAAAACATGTTACCTTTTTATATCTACACAAATGTAGAAAGGAAAAAAAACACAAAAAATATATTTACATGAATTTTGTCACCAAGGGGAAAAAAAACACATCATCCCTCTCCTTTCACAATTTGGCGCATCACAAACGTAATCAAAAAACAATAGCCATCATCCCCCCCATTTATAAATACATTGTCCAAGATAGCCTTGTTATGAAGAATTTGGGCCTCGCCTCCAAAAAAAACAAGCTCAATAAAACGGCAGAAAAAGACAACCTCCAGAAGCAGCAGAAGCGCCTGCCCTACATATACAACCTACTTAAAACCTCCATTCAAGACTCCCCCTATGTGAATTTCTTTCTGTTTTTTTTTGTGGTGTCCCTGTTCTCCTCTTTGTTGTACTACCACCGCTGAGGAGACGCAACGGTGTGTACACACCTACGCACACCTAATTGCTTCCATTTTGTTTTTCGACATTTTCGTCTTTTGATATGCTTTCCCCCCGTTTTTTGCAAAACTCCCTCATTTCGCCACGAAACGAAATGTGCGGTATGGCGCGTCCATCTTGTTGGCCCGCCTACGAGATGCGTTCCTCTCGTCCTTTTGCTGATGATTTCACAAAATTGACGATTTGCCGGTTTTTAAATTGACCTACTTGCCAATTTGCGCCATTGCAAAATTTGGCCCGCCCGCCCCTTGCGCGGGAAGGCGAGATTTTTTGTTCACCGTCATGCAACCCGAGGGACTAAAACAGTAGAAACGCTGCACCCTTCGCGTACGCACCGAGAAATGAGCTAATCCCTGCGTTGTGTTCACCACTTTCTTTAAACAGGGCCGTCATGAATATACGGGCAGGGTACCTCCTTTTGCCACAACTTGCAAAAAACGCAGGGGACAAAATGTCCATGCACAGAAGGAAACCTGCACAAAATTGTGCACACCGTTTCCATTTTGAAACACATGCGAGGTGGAATGTGTAAGAAGCCTTCACAGAGCAATGTGTGACTTGGTTCAAGGTTATTTCAACTCGATCGTTGTGCAAGAGCTTCCTAAGCAAGCACATTTATTTATCACTATCCTGCGCATACGTACCAGAAAAAAAAAAAAAAAAAAAAAAATGAACGAGGCACATGATTTGCACCTTTTCACCTTGTCGGCAATACACTTTTGGAAAAAAAAAAAAAAAAAAAAAAAGAGATACAGGAGAGAGAGCAAGAGAGAGGGAAAGAAAAGCCCTTTTTTTTTTTAAATACCGCAAAGGTGACTTTAACTTTGTACAGGCACTCGAACGAAGGGGCAACGTGTAGTATCCAGGATGAAGCGAATCAAAGAATTTACCTCACCCGAGTGAATACCTGAGTGTGCCACTGAATAAGTGTAAAACGAATGCATCGGCCATAAAGGTATGCAATTCTGCGTTCTGCTACCTCGTGTAAAGGAACACCACCACCAGCAAGAAGAAGAAGCAGCGAAGTAGCAGTGACGAAGCGGCAGAGAGGGACTAGCACGAAATGGTGAACCCAACACCACGATGTGTTCCATAACAGCGCGCGAGGAGGTCTCCACCGGCAGAACTGCGAAACCCAGTGCATCGCAAAAAAGGCCGATCAGGCAGCACTGCGGTGGCGGAGGCGCAAAATGTTTGTCAACAAGAAACTCTTCAATTTTTACAAAAACAATACCTTTGCCTTTTGCCTGGGAAGCACATGGTTCGTTCTCATAAATAGCGGCCTCCTGTTCACCGCAAAGTACTTTAACAGCTTTGAAAATCGTCATTCCTACATTGACGACGCAGTCAGCGTCCTAAGGGTGTACCTTAATTACGCGGATAGTTCTAGCGTGAAAATTTTAAAAAAAAAGGGTAACATAGATTCATCCAACCAAAGGGCAAAATGTGAACTCCTGTTGTCCCACAATGGGGAGCACATTTATCTACATGTGAACGCTGTGAAAAAAGACACGGGAAAAAAGGGACGCAACAACTCAGACGGATTGGACAATGAAGAAGAAGAAGATGAAGAAGGTAGAGATATTTCCGACTATATAGAAAATCCATACTTAATTAAAAAAGAAATAAAGCTCCTTCTACAGAGGCTACGATCGTTCTTTTCATCCTTTGCCTCAAGCAGCGATGACCAAGATGGTGGGCAATCTGACCAACACAGTCAAACGAGAGAAACAGGAGCAGACAGCACAGTGCAGCTTGAGAAGGGAGTACCAAACAAACAAGTGGATATATTAAACATCATTGGAAAGGGAAACAAATGGAAAATCAACAATATAATGATGGTTAAAAAAAAAAAGTTAACAAACGAGCTGCTCGCAAATGCAGAAAATAAATCCCTACGAAATCGTATAAACCTTTTGGTAAATAATTTTTTTCATTACAAATATGAAATACATGCCGTGCATGGGCATCCTGCACACAATTCTTACTTTTACAAATATGACCAGAAAAAAAAAACCTTTAGCCAAAAACAAAAAAATTTGGGGAAAATCCTATTTTGTGCGTTCATCCTTTCTACCGTTCTCGCCATTAAAAGAATTTACATTTACACAAATTCCTATATGGGTTTAAATTTTGTCAAAAAGTTTGTCCTAGGGAATGACGAGCTGTATAAGATTATGGGGAATAGTGCAATTCAAATTTTGAGCATATCTGGTGTGCATGAAAAAAATTACCTGAACAGCAAGGTGTTTATTCAGGCTATGGACAAACAGGGCGTGGTTCAAATGACGGCCACGAGGGGTACAACGGACAAGAGCTTTTTCATCCTGCACGCAAAACTTTTGCTGGGCAGTGAGACCATCGAGTTGCGCAGGGGGGACTCTCGCGCTGGAGGTGTCCATTAGGGAAGGTGCGCCGAAGCAGTTCCAAGGGATCATCCAAATCCCGCGAGGTGAGGTGAGAAGGCAGGGGGGGGAATAAAAGAAAGCCTGCAAAAAGTTACCGCCTCTGTGGCATGAATCATATGCTCAAATGCGCAAAAGAGCAAACGAGCAAATGCACACACGCAGGTGAATCTTCTTACAAATGCGCCGCCTTGACGCAGCAAATTTCGTGCAGTGACACTCCCCCTCCGCGAAGAGACCAGATCCTCACTTGTAGGCCGCGGAGACAGCGTTAAGCGGGCCAGGTCGTTCTCAATTAGGTGGCACAATTCGTTGCGCACCAACAGGCTGACCAATTGAAAGAAAAAAAAAAAAAAAAAAAAAATTTAACATGTGCACCCACCAGCTTGGGAACAAAATTGTGCACATTTTTTACATGAACGGACAGGTGATTTTTGTGCCAACGTGTTACGGGTGAGGTGGGCCGATAGAAGTTGTTTACATTCTCCGATCCCCTTCAAGCCCGCGATGTGCTTAACGTGGGTTATGAAAAAAGCATTTCTGCAATTGTTGTGCTGAGGGTACATGTACGCATATGTGTACTTACCCTTTCATTTGTTCACTTTTACCATTCCTTTTTTGTGTTTTTTTTTTCCCCTAATCGAAACTGCCAATGGCGAAGTGGTTATTTGCGTCCCCACCTTTGGTGTGCCCCTGTCATCCTCTGTAGCACTATACGTGATGTTTTGCGCGGCCACTTGGGCAAGCACTTAAGGCTAATAAGTAGTATATTTTTTTTTTTTTTCTTGTCTTATGGGAAGCGTCTTTACATTTGCCCATTTGTATATCATCTTTTTTTTTTTTCTGTTCACTTTTTTTTTTTTTTTTTCTTCCCTTTTTATGGCCTCACCAAACTGCTGCCCCCCAGAACTTCATCAAATTAACCCCCCGATTGGACAACGTTCATCAAAAACACACCCGAGCAATTATTACCACAATACTGACTGTCCACCGCTGATATGCTTTGCGAAAGATATGCCCCAGTTGACACCTGCCTGCCCATGCGAGCGCTCTTAAAAAATGCCGATCTGTTTCAGCGTCCACAACTTGGCAGGATACAATGAGCGGTTCAACACAGTGCTGTACAGGGAACCCATACGAACGAGCAAATCTCATTCCAGCAAGTACATTATTTTCTTCCCAGGGGACTATTCAAATTTTTTCACTAACTCTATATACACATCATTTAAGTTGGAGTCGACAAACGAATGCTCAGACTACTGCTACAGCTATGAAGCCCTATTCTGGATCCTATCCTCCAAGTATTTGTATGACCACTTAGTTTTTATTAAGCCTAGCATTTTTATAAATCACTTTTCCTCCTTTTCCAATTTTTTAAATCCATCTGATATTTCGCTCAGCACACATGATCACAGTGTGACGGCGGCAGGGGGGAGAAATCCCGGAGATGCGGTGGTGCCCGCCAAAAGTGTGAAGCATTTATTGTGCCTACTCTTATCACTGGATGAGCAGTTATCAAGGTGGAGCCACGCATCTGCTAATGGCACCCCGTGCACTCATTCTAATGGAGAAAAGACTCACACAAATGCTCTTGCGGGGAGTGACCAGATTGATGGATCCCCACTGCTGAGCCCACTAAAACGCAGACTCGTTTTGATCGGATTCAGCAGGGGGTGCTCGGTTCTGTTCGCTCTGATGAGGGAGGCCAACGAAGGCCAGCTGCTCCTCTCTTGCGTCGATTCCATGTACCTCCTAGACCCCGGATTCAACAAAAAGATATACAACACCGAGATCGAAAGCAGCGCTTTGGAGAAGGTCGCTCAGTGTGGATTGAAAATATTCCTTCACTCCACACCTCACCAAGTGATAAACAAACACGATGTAAACATCCACATGGAACTGTTAAACTTTTTAAAGAATCTCAGGCAACATGGGATAGCTACCTTCCCATATATACACTATATTAAAAATGCCAAGTTGGTGAACCACCTAAATCTCCATTTTGAGATCCTTGTGGATTTTATTGACGACGTGTTGGAAGACCCCAACGAGTCCTCCCCTTCCTCCTCCTTGTCCAGTTCCTGCAAGGAGCACGGAATCACTGTGTGTAGGAGTAAAATGTCTGCCAAAGATTTCTTGTTTGAAAATTGGAAGAGGAATTAGTTTCTACCACGGAGAGACTTATGTCGATCGTACTGGTGTAGCGGGGGTGGTAGAGCACCACTCCCATAACGACTAACCCTAGCCGAGCCCCCCCCCCCCGGTTCACTGCACACGCAATGGAAAAGGAAGCATCAAACGAATTAAAGTACCAATGTGCGCTCTCATTAGAAGAGTGCCATTAGAGGAGAAGTTAATCAATCGGTGTTGGGGGTAGGTGGGTGAGTGAAGACAAGCAACGTGGCACACACAAAAAGGGGTGAAATGAAAAATGGTGAAATAAAAAAGTAAAGGAAGAGCAGAATCCCATCTATGTATAAGCGCACGGTTTAAGCCACCTGCGGGTTACCATAGAGAAATGTGCTTCCATAGAAACATCCCTCATGACTCAACTCAAAGTCAGAATACAGGACTTTCCGCCCGATCCTTTTCTTCAAGTACAAAATGCTGCTGTCGCGCTGGTTTGCAATTTGTGCCTCCAACTTACCCTCAGATGGATACTCATAATTAAAAATGTAGAAATTATTGCTGTTGTTAATTTTCCATATGACTTGATCATTCTTTTGTGAAAACTGGATGATTCCGCAGGATCCGAGAATGATGGCCATATCGTCGTTGTACTGGAAGGTGAAGATTTCGTCCACCTCAGATGTTTTTGGCAGACACATGCTATCTTCTGGTAAGTGCGTCTGGCCCATTTGGCCCATTTGGCCGCGCTGGCTCAGTTGTTCCGGTTGGCCCCGCTGACCCCTCTGACCCAGTTGACTTGCCTTCACCCTGGGGTGGTAATTTTCCCCACAGGAACAAACCACCTTCGTATTCTTAAGTGTGCAGACCTCATTTGTCGAGCACCCCCCATTATTCGTGAGGCAGGGGTTACTCATCACGCACGTTTGGGCTCCCCCCGGCGAGAGGCTCGCCCGACTCTTCACATAGTTAAACAAACATATGCACAGTGGTTCTTTATTTATTTGATTTACACATATTGAATTTTCCGAGCATTTATTCTGACCAGTCGTGCACATGTCCTGCAAGACGCACTTACCATTAATAGCGACGAGTCCCTTCTTATGACACACACACTCATGTTTTTTTTTTTCGTGATAAATGCATTGTGAATCCGGCGGACAGTTCCCATTATTAATAGCACACAAATTTTCGAATATACATTCGTTCTGTTTATTCCTTTTTAAATTTTCTTTACACTCACACTTGGCTATGTTGTCTATAACTTTACAAATCTCATTTTCTTTACAAGTAACATGTTTGCAATGCTCGACGGGGACACAAATTCCTCGTTCGTTCCGATGGAAGTTATCAACACAGTCACATCTCACAATGTCTTTCTCTTTATCATGTACACATTTTTCCTTTTCATTTGGACAGGCATTCAGGTATTCTTTTCGTTTACATTTATTCTTGGGTACACATATATTTCCTTCCTCCATTTTACTATCATGCCCGCAGACACAAAGTCCGTTCTCTAGAGTCAACCCATTAATACACCTACATATTTTTTTTCCATTTTCTATCACGCATTCTTTATTTAAGGGACACAGAAGGTCACACTTGTCGTCCGGTACACACACCCCATTAACATTTTTGTATTTTTCTTCACATATGCATGTCGCTTTGTCCTTTACCATTTTGCATGTTTGATGTTCGCCGCATGCCTCCGAGTTGCACTCTTTTGGCGCGTCACAAATGGAATGATTATTTTTATTCACATACGGACTGTTGCAGAAGCACTTATACTTGTGCTTGTTTCCGTAGCAGGACGAATTAGATTCACATGTGCGACACAGGTCTTTACAAGTGTAGTGCACGAAAAGGTACTGATCATGCTTGCAGTATGTGTCAAAGTGGTGTGTTAATCCAATATCACAAAAGCTTAGCTCGTCACAGTACTCCTTAACTGAATTAGTTAAATCAAGATCTTGGCACCCGTCTCCCGTTTTTAACAGAGCCTTGTTTACTTTTATAGATCCCCCTGGGCATTCAATTTGGCTGTGAAACCTACTCCTAAAAATTGCACCTGTCTCGTTCTCCTGCTTGTTCTTATGAACGGCACCTTTATCTTTCGTGTGAACGGTCCTGGAGGGACTGTGTGTCCGTTCTGCGAGCCCTGGTAGCGGTAACGATGGCGATGAAGAGGTACTTCCCCCTAACTCACCTACACACACGTACTCGTACTGATAAATAGTTCCCTTGGTTCCACACGTATTACCCGGGTCCAGAGTGGGTACCTGATCTACGCTGTTACCAAAGGCGCACCTAGCCTTGCCGTCACAAGCCTTGCGTAGTCCATCAGTGATATACTTAATTTTGTTATCCTGGAAAGTTACGTGGTAACAAGAGAGCGTTGCATTAACCACCTCGATGGAGTAGCCGTTTTCACACTCCATGTATATATGTTCAGGCTTTAAAGCAGAACGGACGAAGAGTTCATTTTTGTATGGTTTGTGTTGAGTGGTGGTCTGTTTCTTTATGAGTTCCTCCAATTCTCCTACGTCGTAGCATTCATTTTTGTAAAAGTACTTATTATCAGGGCATCTACACTCTGCCTTCTTCGAGTCTTTGGTAACAACGCAAGTGGAGTCTTTAGGACATTCAATAGCTTTACACACATCGGTGTACAAACATTCTGTTCCCTCCACTGGTAGGTCAGACGTTTTGCACGAACACGAGTTGGTTTCCTCATCACAAAACTGATTCACTGAACAAATAGCACCATTACAGGTGTAGTTCTCTTCACAAAAGTCTTTATCACGTGGAAGCATATTATACCCATAACTACAAGTACGTAAGCGTCCCTCCCCGTTGTAAATATCACATGTTTCATTTTCTTTTTGATTACACCTATCTATGCATTCGTAATTAACATGGATGAGGAAATTGGAGCCCAGGGTGCAGTTATCCTCGTTCTTAATATTTTTGAAGTCAATTTCGCACGACTTTTTCTCATTACACAATTGTTTGAGATGCTCCTGGAAGTGGTCCTGTATGCAATTGTTGCTGCTATCCGTGTGGACCGATACATACCTTAAGCTAATGTCCATGGCGTGACAACTGAGAACTCCCTTTTCACTGTCCTGGAAAAATATTTCCTTGTACACAACTTTTGGCTTGAGGAGTTGTGGCTTCCCCACATGGTAAATAATAATGTGTGTGTCATTCATGTAGGCGCAATGGATTAAGTCGCTTTTCCCTTTGCTGCTCATGGACCCTTCTTGTATGTAATCAGTGTGAGGGATAACCCCACAAAAGGTCTTCCTATAACACTTGTTATTTGTCAAGTCTTTCTTCAATGACCCTTGTGCTATTAAATAATCACATGTTTTCACATCTTTGTTGAGAGAAAAGAATTTTTTTATTTCCGCTTCAGAGGTTAGAGTGAATACTTTTGTAATTGCTTTGTCTACATACCCATAAGCATTTTCTCCATTTGTGTATTCCACCTTGTCGTCCATGGACTTATCTCTCACTCGGTGATCAAGGGAGAAGGTAAGTTTGTCCAGTTCCTCCTTTTGGTAATAAATATCATCTTCCACTACGATCGCTCTGCCCTTCCTCATCCCAACGAGGAGCAGCAGGACACACACCCAACACTTCATCTTTCTGTCCTGGCAGATTTTCAGTCATGAACAGGAAAATGGGTGGGGGGGGAGAGGAGATATGTGCACAAAGGGATTTTTACGATTGCGCTGTTGTGCGGCAAAGCAGAGGTGTGAAACCTTCTTAACTGATCCACTTGTTGCGAACAGCCAAATGCGGAACCTCTTCCCGGTGCGCTCTCCTCCTACTGTCTGAGAAAAACACCAGATCGTTGGTTCGCCTCTCTACGCCGTTGGAGAGACGCGATTTTTTGACAATTTTTCCAAAAAATGGGAAAAATCGCAATTTTGTCAATTTGTCATTTGTGTCATTTTTGCCAGTTTGGCAATTTTGTCATTTTTGTCATTTTTTTCAACTTGGCCAAATTTCTCTGCCTAGCAGTTGTTGGGGGAATTTTCCTGTCTCGCTTCGCAGAGGGATGCGACAACACAAGTACACGCGGCTGAAGACAAATTTGCGCACCTCCACTTTTGCACCTTCGCCGCGATCACCTTGGTAATTTTTTCAGCACTGAGAATTTTTCCGTCGCGCATGGCGGTATAGCGGCAACGCAGCAGCGACGTGGCGGCGACGTAGAGTTGAGTGTTTTTTTTTTTTTTTTTTTTGAAATTCGTTGTCCAACTTTTTCCAGTTTTCTTTTAGCAAAATGGCTAATGTTCATGGCACATATTTTGTACACATGACGCACGCGGTCAAAATGGCAACCAACTGACTGACCGTACAACAGATCGGAGGTTTTTTCCCCCGCCCTTTTGTCTCCAAAAAGGCCATTGTAGAATGGCGCGACGCCCGCATTTTGGGGCCAAAAGGGGGAAAAAAAAAACGGATTCGTACAAATGCACTAACAACTGTGCCCGCGAGGCGGAACGAAAAACTGATGGAGGCCAACCTGACGAAAAGCATAGACATATGAACAGCGACCATCAGGAGGAATTATATCACATATACCTCCCCTAGCTTTGCATTTCCTTTGTTTGCATGTGTTTGCCATATGGGTCCCTCCTGTTGTGTGTTAACATTAGACCTCTTGTGGTTGCCGCGACCACGATTTGTCGCCTCCATGTGTTTCTTTTTTTTTTAATACCTATACAGATGTGTTGACAGTGTTTTACACTAAAAAAAGTATATACGAATGGGGAGGAAAAAATCTTTTTTTTTTTTTCTTTTTTGCCCAAACTTGTGTGCAAAGACGTACAAAAATGGGTTGCGGCCACTTCTGGTATAAAAAAAAAAAAGGGTAAATGAAAGAACCACTGTTTTGCGAATTTGTGTCGATTCGTTATTCCATTTGGCAGCCTCTTAACCTCCCCACATCCTCCTCTTTGATTCATTCCAAACTGGTCGTCCACAGGGGCCTTGCCCCTACGCAAACACCCTTATATATACTTGAGGTGGATAGATATATTTTCCTGGCAGCTTGTTCCCTCAAAAGTACTAATATGTAAATTTACAGAAAAGAATTATTTTTTGCAAAAGCGCGACGGGGGTGACTACTCTTTTTATTGTACAGCTTGTGGTAACTGCCTTCCTTGCGTCCTTGTTTTTTTTTTTTTTTTTTTAAATTTGGAAATTCTGTTTTTCCCTCTTTTCCGGGTCGAAAAATTGTGCCCATTTTTTTCCGCAAATTATTTTTCCAATCTTGTCGCTTCATCCCATTCTGCTTGGCTCCTTTATTTATTTTTTTTTTTTTTTTTATGCGTCCCGCTTTGGATGTTTGCAGAAAACCCAAACAGGGCCAGATTAAAAATATGTATTCGTTTGCGCTATGGCCCATGGAATAGGTTGAAGCTTTGGCGAGAAGAAAAAGGGTCGCGTTAGAAAATTAGAAGCGAGAAGGGGGTTTAGAGCGGCAAGGGTTTGTAACGAAACGGGTTATGGTTAGAAAAAAGCAAACAATCTGTTCATCCCATCTACATCATTATCAATTATTAGCGACGGAGAAGGAAACGTTTTCCGTTACATATACCGTCCCCCCGCCTATATTTACACTCAGATGTTTCTTTGTTCCCTTTCCTCCTCACGAGCTCATCGTAATTCCCCCACGTCTTTCTGATATGTCCTTAGAGAATCTACCCCAGCAAATGAAATGGAAGAATTTAACGAAACGTTGGAGGGTTTAGAGGTACGTTTCCCTGCGACAAGCCTCGCATCCCTATGACGACGTGCTTGGCACTTATGTGGTTATACGCTTATCACCCCCCCACCAGCACCACCAAAAAAAAGAAAAAGAAAATAAAAAGTACGATCAAGCCTGTGCTAGGGTTCGCACAACAGTACAGTGGAAATGTTCAGCCGTATAAGAAAATGTACAAAACAGGGGGCAGAAGCATTGTCTTTCTAAAACAGGCCAACAACATATTAACCTGCGTAACGGTGTGCAGCATGACCTCCAAATACAATTATCCTCTTTTTTTCCCCTCATCCTAATTTTAGGGCAAAATAACGGAGTATGAAAAACAGCTAGCCTTGGTAAGAGAGGAAATAAAAAAATATGAACAGGCCACCGGAGAAGAAGATGAACAAATTAAGAACCTGAGGAAGTTAGAATGTGACATGCTCGAGGTCATAAACTTGACTCTCGATTTGATTAATTACAAGAAGCAAAGTGAGTGAAGGGAAAATAGGCGCAGCAGTTGCATATACATATTTGTATATATCTTTCCACCCCATGGGAAAGTCCACCTGAGGAAGTTTAACTCCATATACATTTGCATACACAACAATGGTGCAAAGGGAATGGTCACCCTTATTATTATTATTTTTTTTTTTACCCCTTTGTAGACGAAGCGGAAGGTGAGTCGCTTGAACCGAGCCTGGAGAAAGAACACGCGGAGGATGCAAACGAAGTTGCCACAAGCGAAGCAAGTGCAGTCATTGGGAGAACATGCAGCTTCATTTATGAAAACAAAAAAGTCTACGGACTGATTCAAAATGTCGTTAAAGAAAATGACATGGAACAACTGTTAATAAATATATATGAAAATAATGAACAAATTATGATCCCCCCCAAGTATGTCCTCCTGAACGAGGTACTCACAGAGTCTGCGCTTGCGGAGAACAGCCAGTTCCAGGCCCTCTACAAGAAGGACGGGTAAGAAACACGCAGATATTAGACGGGGGGATAAGCGAATGTGCCCCCCAGAAAAAGGGACACCTCCCCCATAAAGAGGCAATTACCTTTCTCCTGCCCACCCACACACACACCCCTTTTGTGAAGAAGAAGCATATGCAACGCATTGAGCATAAGTATGGGTTACTCTGTTTAGTGCCCCAACTGAGCAACTCAGCGTCCACTCCTAATTACACCCCCAATTACATCCCTTTTTGCACTCCCTCCGCAGCCTCTGGTACGACTGCATCGTCTCGAAGAGCATGGGCGACTCGTTCCTCGTCAACTACATCGGATACAACACCAGCGAATACGTAAAGAATGACCAAGTCAGAATAAAAAAAAAAAAAAAAGTGAAAGAAATAGTCACCCCTGCAGGCTATAAAATTCCTGAAAATTTAATCGTAAAGGAAAACGACTCTTTAAAAGTTCAAATGAGGAAAAAGAAAAAAAGAATAGCTCTCAAAAAAAAACAAAAAAGCGAATTGATAAATAAAGAATACACAAATAAAACACAGCAGTGGAGATCCTTTCACGAAAAGGCTATCAGCAAAAGCAAACACCTCCTCGTGGCCCATAAGAAGGTGGAAAATATTGAGTATAAAAACGCCCCGTCCACTTTCACCATCAGGAGGAAGTTTGACTGCAATGATAATGAGGACTGACTTTTTTGCTTGCGGTGGTGGGCCATCGTAACACCCACCTGCAACAAAACTGGCCTCTCTGAATGGGTTTCTCTCCTTCCGCCAACACCCTTTGTGGTATTTTGTCCCACAAGTCATTTACTTCCATGAAGGAGAACCCCCCCCAAAAAAGGAGTTTCTTTTCTTTTTTTATTTTTTTTTTGCTTTGTAGCTCTTTTTTTGGGAGCAACTTTTTGTGGCTCTCCGCCTTTCCCCCTTTTTTTTTTTTTTTTTTTTTTTTTTTTTTTTTTTTTCGGCGCTGTTTGTCAACCTTTTTTGTCCCCATTTGAACCCTAAACTACACTACAAATAAAAACGGCATCAAATGGAATAAAAAAAAAAACAAAAAAGCGAATGCTTCACTTTCCCCTTTTTTTTTTATGAATTTCTGTGTCGGGCAAATGGAACCCCTCACTCAATACAACGTGCTCACTTCGGCACGTGCTTAGGGGTTTGTTCGACTGTCCCTCCTTTTGAGCCATACCGAGGGAGACTTTCTAATGTTTTATACCCCCATGTCGGGAATTCATTTTTCTGAAGAATTGCGGAGAAGTAGCTGCTAAGCGGGCAGTTGTTTGTGTGCGCGAGTAATTACAATTGCCATACTCTTTTTGGCTTCTCCAGGGAAGACCGACTTTGGGCATCAAAGCGGCAAAGCGCTAGTTGGATGTGGCCATATAGGGGAACAGGCCGCTCCAAAGGAACACCAAAAAATAGGTAGGCGCTCAACAAGACACACCCCTGTTGTTTTCCCCCCATGGAGGAAGAAAAAGTCCATGCCTCGTTCCAAGTGTTATACAATAATGGGAAGGGAGAACTGTACGTAACGAGCAGATACCTGGTGTACATCTCTGAGCATACGAAAAAGGAAAAGGCCCAAAGCAACTCCCTTTTCCTCATTGATGACATTGACTTAAAGCTATGCATATTCAGTTGGAAGAAAACAGAAAAGTCCAAAAAAAAAAGTAAAACCCGATTTACATTTGCCGTAACGAACAAAAAAAATAATTTCTGTTTTCACGACTACAACCACACGGAGTCCTTCATATTTGAATTCTTGTGTGATCAAGACAACAGCCAGGTATGCCAAATTATCAACACGCTCAATAAGGATAACATAAAGAATCACATATACATAGAGTTTAACTTACACTTAATAAGAGACAAGTACAAAGTATACGAAGAGTCCTCTGGTGCACTCATAACA